ATATATATATATATAATATATATATATATATAGTATATATATATATATATATATATATATATATATATATTATATATATTATATATATATATATATATATATATATATATATAACTATATATATATATATATATATATATTATATATTATATATATATATATATATATATATATATATATATATATATATATATATATATATATATATATATATATATTATATATATATATATAATAAACAGGCATTTATGAACATAATGTAAATAGTAGTAGAATATATAGACTTGAAATGCAAAATCGGTATTGCAAAAGATTAGAATTAAATTTCAAAAAATTTATGCCGCAGGATTGAATGGTGAACGATCCAAGAGTATATAAATTTCTCTAAAATATCGACTTTTAAGGTGCACTTATCACTCAGTGTGAGCAATTAAGTGCTTTACAAAAGTACTTATCTCTGCCTAATTCAAAACTCTAAAAACTTGGTTAAATGAAATTGAAAAATTAAACCTATTTATAGAGATAAATTTAGTAGAAAACGTCCAAAAATCGTGATAGATGAGTGGAGGAAATTTTAGAAAGTGGGAGAAAACTCATTCCACGCTATGCTATTTTAAAGGTTTTGAAGTCCATGGCGAACGCTATGAGTGTAAATGTGGAGAACGTGGCACTTAAGGTCCATATCGAACACCATGGCCTCATGGCTAACACCATGAGTGATGTGTATTGACTTCTTTCCTTCTTTGTGTTTTCTCGTGGATCCCATGGTTGCCAAGTTCTGGAAAACGCCATAAATGTAATGCCTTGTCTTTTTCTCCCATTTTCGCCGTTTTGTCGCACAGATGCTCCTATTTATCAGATACTTGAAAAGAACATAAAATATCAGCATAACACAATAAAAAGGAAATAAAACAACGAAATATACTATGTTAATTGAGTCGGAAAATGCGATATATTTTGTGGTTATCATTTGTATTCAATTCAATCAAATTTTATTTTATTTTTTAAATTGTGTTTAAATAATATTTTTTTTAAATTGATAATGAAATAAATATTAACGACTAAAACTAGTCATTCCAGCAGAAAATGTACCGAAAATGACTAGAAAGAATAGAAATTTACAATATAAAATTCTGAAACAAAATCAGCAAAAAGTGATCTAGCAAAATAAAGGATTTAACCTCCATAAACATATTTTGACTTTAACCACCAAAATGAATGAAGCTTTACCCTTTCAAATAATGCGTGCAATTAGGAATGACAATGGGTAGGATATGAATATGGTATTATATTACTGTCTTTATACCCGCAATTTAAAAAAATCTCCGTATCCGAGCACATACGCACGTGGACATCAAACTTTATACTTGTATATGTACTCTGTAGGTACCTAAATATCATTACCCTTATAAATTACCTATAGTTCTAATAAAAATAAATCTATCAATGATAATATATGATATCATTTTAATTTTTTTAACAAAATTAACAAAAAAAATTAAAGAGATTTTTAGTTGTTCGGGTGTTTTTATGTTTTTATTGGTTTTTCTTGTTGTTTCTTTTTTTCTTTTTTCTTAAGGTGGTCCATTTAACACTCCTTGTAGTGATAATTACCATTTTTATGTATTTGATGGTCTTCACCTCTTCATTAATTTATTTTTTATTAAAAAAAATTATATACGATATGATATGTTAAATTTCTGTTTAATTGATATATAAAAAATCAAACAACATTTTGTTCATATAAAATAAGATCAATGGACATCAAAAGTCAAAGGTGAAATATCAAAAGACATTGAATTATGATATCATTAAATTTGTACCCAAAAACCATCTTCTTAAATACATTTATTGATTAAAATTCTACATGTATATAATGTTGTAACTAGATATATTTTTCAACTAATTTTCCAATTCTAAAAATTTTGCTTGCTCTCATAAGTCTGTCCAAATTGCCAATTGGAAGGAGCAACAAAACTAAACTCCAAAGCTTTTCCATCACTTGTAGTAACAAGAAATGACAAGCTTTGCCCAACCAAATTCTGATTGATATGCCAAGTTTGTCCCGAATTATGTGTCATGGTAAGCAAACCAGTCTTAGATCCTCTAATACTCATGTGAGAAACATCACCAGCATTACCAACATTGTACACCAAAACAATCAAAAAATAAGGGTTTCCTTTGAGTTCAAACCTAACACCCCCAGTTTTGACACATGGAACACGTCGATATTTAACAGGGATGATGCCAGCTTTTTCCCCGGCTATAGATGTGAACATTTTATAACTCAAATCAAAGTGTTTTTGTGGAGGGTTACACCAAATGTCAACGGTTTTGGAATAATTAGGAGGACAATAATTTGTTGCGGTCACTGTGATTGGAGTTGCACCTTTTATGCACCATTGAGGATCGTTTACACACATTATTTGAAAACAAGCACCGCAAGTAAGTCCATTGTTGAATAGAGCAGTGCTTAGTGCTGTAGTTGCAAGACCATATCCTTGTTTGAAGAGATCTCCATAACCACAAGCCCCCTCTACAAGAAAAAACAACCATATCTTATATTAGTTGTTTCATTTTCTCTAACAAGTGAGATATATATTACGAATATAACTTGTATTAGAAAAAAAATAAAGATTGATTTTATAGCTTACGCATGGTTTCACCACCGGCTGCATCACCATAGAAAGTTGCATGAGCATCATACCAGTTTGGGTCAATGCCACCTGCAATGACTTCTACGAGCAGCATCATAATAAAGAACAAAGGAGGCAAAGAGTAAGGCATAACCATGACTAAGATAAAAGCACAAAAGAGGGTAAAATTGTAGGATTGAGTGATTGATGCATGAATGGCACTACTTAAATATGTGGTAATGTGCCATAAAGGGAAAAATATATATTTAAAAAATATTTAAGTAAATTCTCAAACAAGTAAATAAATCCATTTAACATATCCTTATTTATTTATTTATCCTTATCTATATATTTATTTATTCTTAAGTAATTTAATGGTTGAAATTCACCTTTTTAAAGATGTTATGAATTTATTTATATGATGTTGATGATAACTACCGAATAAAATGTTTTAATGGAATACTTTAAGATAACAAGTAAATCAATTATAAAAAATATTATTTAATTTGAAATAATTTTTTTTATATGAAAACATGTATTAATGGTCATTTAATGTATTTGGAATAACAAAAATATTGGAGCATTTTATTAATAATACATATCTTGTATCTAGATACTTGCTACACATAAAATAAAATGAAACTTAAACTCTTAAGAAATTGGTATTCTACCTATGTGGCATCTCTATCTAACAACTTTATCAGCTATTCTTGAGTTAGAATTTGGCATATATGAAATCGCTATGTAACATTTTTCATGAAAATTTTAGGTTAGCATATTAAATGTGAGTTTGAATATTATATTAAATAGAAAAATGAATGTTAAATATTTTATAAGTGAGAAAATTTTATTGGAAATATAATTTAGTTAATGTTTACAATTCACAATGATTATTCTTTAATAGTCTTTTGGCATTTTCAATTTTAGTATAAATATGCTACCTAGGCTATCAATATTGTAACTCATTCATTCCTTTATTTGATATACAATAGTAGTCCTCTTTGTTATCATTCATTGCTCATTCTTCTTCTCCCCTTTCATTACCTTGCACCAATAAATTGGTATCAAGAGCACCTGGTTCTGTTTTTCCTGGGAAACACGAGTGATTGTGAGATGTGGGTTGGGAAACAGTGTGTTTGAAGATCTGAAAAATCCGTGCAAGGTTTAAAATGAGTGGAGACAATAGTTTGCACACCAAACTTCTAGTTTTTAATGGCAAAAACTGGAACAGATGGATGATACAAATGCGTGTGTTGTTTGGTGCGCAAGATGTTCTGGATTTGGTTACAGATGGTTATGTACCAGCTGCAGCAGATGCAACTAAAGAACAGAGATCTGCTGAGAGGATGCTGGGGAAAGGGGACCAGAAATCTCTATTCTATATCCATCAGTGTGTGGATGAAAGTGTGTTCGAGAAGATTGCTGATTCGACAACGTCAAAAGGGGCGTGGGATTTACTGGTGAGATGTTACGGTGGTGACACATTAGTAAAGAAGGTGAAGCTTCAATCCCTACGAAAGCAATATGAGAACCTGAACATGAAGAGCAGTGAGAAAGTTTCTGAATATATCTCCAAAGTGATTCTGATCACTAACGAGATGAAGGCGTGTGGAGAAACTATGTCTGAACAGGTAATCATAGAGAAGATTAGTTGCCTTGTCTTCTTTCAGGAATTAATCTGCGACCAGTTTCAAAATTGTTGATGATATTCGTCTATTTGTAGACTTTACTTGAAAAGATAATGATGTTATCAAAGTAAATGAGATATCATCAACCATAGTTGTATGCAATGCATATGCGTTTCGTATGCATATGCTATGATATTTTGTAAAAGATGTATGAATGTGAAATGTCATTGAAGCATATTGATAGCTTTGTATAATATCTCTGACTGGGGAAAATAAATCCTTGATTGTTGTTGAGGATGAAGAATATGTGTAATCCTCAATCTTTGTTTAGAATGTTTCCACTGGGAATTCCTGCTTTCTGTTTATGGAAACTCCACTGGGGAATGTGATTTTTGCTTGGGGAGAAAAGTTCAAGAATATTGGCCGTTCACCGCTCTACTGGGGAATTTAATTCTTATATACCTTGATTGGGGGTAAAAGAGATGGATAACCTTTCAAGGTGCTTCCCAATCAAGTTTTCGATATGGATGCCGACTCATCTAGGAAGGATAATATTAACTGATATCTTGTCTGATTTCAGATTCCGTAGAAACTCTCTGGGGATGACAATCTAGACTAAGCTTTGATGGAGAGAGAAATTATGTCGGTGATTTGTAGTAGTCAAAGGAATAGACTCAAGCTGGGGAGATTGGATCTGTTAGGGAAATAAACCCTGTTGGTGAAATAAACCCTGCTGGAGAAATACTCTACTGAGAGAATGAGCCCTTCTGAAGATGATAATTTTACAGGGGATTTTATATTTTTGGAGAAATAAACTCAGCTGGGGTAGAGAATTTCTATGAATTATGCTGATAACATAATCTTTGATAAGGATTGGAATTCTGTAGGTTGGCGACATTTTCGGGAAAAAGATCATACTCCTTTGTCCGCTAGGGGGATCTGCTGGTGAGTATGACTAGAGTATTTCAGACTTGCGGGGAATGTATCTTTGTTGAAGACGAGCTTGTAAAGTTGACTCTGCGGGGGATAATCTTATGGAAACTGCTCTGTGGGGATTATTCCATGGAAGTTGTTTTGTGGGGATTTGTGGATGACTTGAACGTAACCCCGTATCCTAGAGTCTTGAGTAAATACTTATTCCTGTTTTTATGCATATATTTGTTAGAAGTAATCGTATTCATATGGATATGTTCATTCAATCTAGTCATTGGACATTTTTTTGCAAACAAAACAGAAAAGTAAAACAAAATTTGAATTTTGAAATTGTGTTTATATTGATAGTCTGTCTATAAACAGGCGATTGTTGTACAAAGAGACATAAATCCTAGTAACAGGAGATCGTCGTGAAATGAAAGGAGTACAAAGTAAAACAAAACATATAGCTATGTGTAATTGATCTTTTCAGGTTTCAACTCTGCTATTGCTCCAATGTCTTCGAGCATCTCATCCCTTGTTGTCAGAAGAAGTTGATTGAATTGATAGACACCATTCAAACTTGACAATGGTAATAAAGTTGGTTGTATGTGATCATACAGGACATAGTCGTACGCTTCAATCCCTAATTGTTTCCTGGACCGCCCTTTCGGGTTTTAAGTCCACCAGGATACCCTTTTATTCCCAAGCGTCCTTTTCTGATTTTCGACTTGCTGGGTATACAACTTTATATATATATATATATATATATATATATATATATATATATATATATATATATATATATATATATATATATATATATATATATATATATATATATATATATATATATATATATATATATATCTTATTTTTTCCCGAACCCTTTTGGTTAAATGGGATGCCCTTATTTTAGCCTAGGCCAGTCAACCTAGCAGGTCATTTTCATGCGTAGTATCTTTTGACTATGTCCGCGTTTACAGGGTGCGGAAAATCTTCACTGTCCATGGTGGTAAGTATCACAGCACTGCCTAAAAATATCTTCTTGATCACGGATGGCCCTTCGTAGGTAGGAGTCCATTTTCCCTTGGGATCACCTTGTGGCGTGATAATACGCTTTATCACCAAGTCACCAGCTTGATATACCCGATGCTTGATTTTATTATTGAACACTTTAATCATACGCCTCTGATACATCTAACTATGACACACAGCCACAAGCCTTTTCTCATCACATATAACTTGTCCATCCTAGTCTGAATCCATTCGTCTTCGTATAAATCTGCATCTTTCATAATTCTCAAAGAAAGAATCTGAACTTCGACAGGTAGGACAACCTCCATACCATAGACCAGAGAGAATGGGGTTTCCCCAGTTGATGTCCGAGCCAAAGTGTGATAGCCATGAAGAGAAAATGGTAACATCTCATGCCAATCTTTATACGTTACCTCTATCTTCTATATAATCTTCTTAATGTTCTTATTGGCGGCTTCCATTACGCCATTCATCTTTGGTCGATATGGATGCAGAGTTTCGTGATCATAGTATTGTTGAGATTGGTATCATTGTCTGTGATAATCCTCTCGGGGATGCCATAACGACAGATAAGGTTATGTTTGATGAATCGGGCGATAACATTCTTAGTAACAGAGGCAAACGAGTCTACTTCAACCCACTTTATGAAGTAATCAATGGCGACGAGGATGAAGTGATTCCCATTAGAAGGAGTGGGATTGATCTCTCCAATCATATCAATGCCCCACATTGCAAATGGCCAAGGAGCAGTCAAGATATTCAAAGGTACTGGAGGCACATGTACTTTGTCAGCAGAGATCTGGCACTTGTGACATGTTCTTGATGGTGACGACATTCAGTTTCAATAGTTGACCAATAGTAACCCGCTCCAAGAATCTTCTTAGCCATGGTATGCCCACTGGAATGAGAACCAAAGTACATTCATGCATATCTTCCATAATCTTCTCTGCCTCTTTCTTGTCTACACAGTGAAGCAGATTCGAATCATGATTGCGTTTGTACAGAACCCCGTTATTCAGGAAAAACTTGGCTGAGAACCTCCGTAGGAATTTCTTGTCATTGATAGAGGCCCCCTCGGGGTGCTCTTGATCCTCAAAGTATCTTTTCAGTTCATGAAACAAAGTCTTCTATTCTACTCCATCATTTCCAACTTCGTAGCAGTGTGTCGGTTCATCTAGCCTTTCAATGGTAATTCTGGGAGCCTCGTTATTCCATCTGACCTTGAACATAGATGACATGGTTGCTAACATGTCTGCCAACTAATTCTATTCTATTGGGATGTGGTAAAAAGTGATCTCCTTGAACTAAGAGACTAAGGTAAGCACATGCTCCCTATAAGGAATGAGATTCAGGTGCTTCGTATCCCATTATCCCTTGTTCACCGAATATTTTAACTTCTGGTGTAGGGTCGAGGTGACAGCGCCTGCCCCATGGATCCAGGGGCGCCCCAATAAGCAAGAATAAGCTGATATAATATCCATTACATAGAAGGTATATTCAAAGATCTACGAACCTACCTCAATCGGAAGGTCCACTTCTCCGTGTACCATCCTCTTTTACCCATCAAAGGCTCGAACTA